AAAAGAAAGATTTTTATAGTACAATTTTGATTTTTGTATTTTAGGCACAAAATATGTCTTAATCTCATTGCTCTGAATTCATTCTAAGGTTTATCAGAAGCAGAAATGGGCATCCTGATGAAATTGTGCAAAAATTTATGTGAAACTATTATAGAGGTGAAATGTGATTTAAAATAGATGGATAAATGATCATAAAAATTTTACCAGAGTTGCACATGGCCATCTCAGGAGGAATTAACTTTTAATGCTGACCCAGAATGAGAAAGGCACATTTCATTACTCTAAAAGAATGACGAGAGGACAAACATGTGGCTATAATTTAAAAGAAAGAAAAATGTTGAATACATGCAAGAATCCAATTTGGTCACATTTTTAAACAAACAATCCAGTTCAAATACAGTCACAGTCAAATTGCATCAATTAACCTATAAAGAGGTAATTATAGAGCAAAGAAAATAAAATTCTTTTTGCTTCATTTTTTTTTGCAGAATAAATATTTGAACAGGCCTGTGAAAAATAATCAAAAGAAATCTAAAGAATTGTCCAGTAAGCTCTGGTTTTTAATCAGTTTGTCTGATTGGGTCACTTTAGCTCTGAGTCAGGTACAGATGAAGCTGTAACCATTGAGAAAGTGAAGGAGGAGGTGACAGATACTGAAACGTGTCTTATAAAACAAACTGCAGCTTTGTCAGGACCTGCGGCAGCAGAGCTACTATGTAAGCAAAGCTGACAGTCCAAGAGTTTAACAACAGTTTCTGTGACGATCATTTAAAACAGGAAAGGTAAGGAACCTCTGACCCACAGGGGTCGGGAAATGACAGGGTGCAGAAAGTCATCATTACATGCCTATCTAAACATTTTACAAATCAGATGAACCCTAAGGTCTCTGATACAACCTTGAGATGAATTTAAGCTTATATTTTGTATTTACCACTTTAATATGAGGTATTAATGATTCAAGAAGGAAAGAGTCAATCAGGATTTTGTAGACATAAGTAATTCAGCTCCGAAATTTGGTCAAAGCCTTGCTGAATTTTATTCTGACTGGAAGCCAGTTCAATGAACAGATAACTGACTGGAAATCTCTGGATCTCTGGGGCACAAAGAAATCAAAGCTACCAAAAATATTTTAAAAGTAAAATCTTAAAGTAACACAAACACACACACACACACACACACACACACACACA